AGGATTTTTTTTAAAGGATTAATTATCATTGTAAGATAGGGAAACACAGACATCACCAGTCAATGTAATTCTTCAAGTATGAATATTTTCATTGAATCAGTGACCCTATTGCCTCAGTAGAGGTATTTGCTCTCTGAGTGCTTCTAGTTTAAAATCATAAATAACTGTAGGGTAAGGATGAATCCTATACACATCACTGTGTATAGCAAAGTTCTCATTTAGCCAGGTAGAAACATTGAGGTAAATGTGACATTTTTGGAGGGCATCCAGGATGAATACCATACTTACTATAACATAGAGAAATAGTAAACCAAAGTACAGAAATGATCAGGGAAAAAACAAAAAGCTCACATATTTTACAATATTTCATGAACTAAAAATATTGAAAAGAAAGAAATTACACTACAGAGACAAAACAGCATGCAAAAAACAAGACACAAAAATAATAACAAAAATAAAATAAAATAAAAAATAGAAAAGTATATAAAAATCAATCACATCACACATCATAGAAAACCACCCAACCCTACTACCAGGGAAATAAAGATATACCTACCACATCAAGCAGCATAGAGAGATGTCCCAACAGAGCTGGCACATTGCTTTTCTCTTCACCATTTCCTTGACTTTCAGACTCGGGAGACATTTCCTGCTTGTCATCGCAAACTGAAGTCACCTCCAGTTCACCTCCCTTTAATGGGAAATGATACACATCACCTGTCTTGTCTGCAGACATAACAAAATAATAATGATGTCACCAAGGGCTACAATTTAATATTCCTTTTGAAAACAGTTTTCTTATGCAGACCTAAGCAATCAGTACATTCTTTGGTTTCTTCCATTTATCAAAAGAAATTCTAAACAAATATTGATCATGCTTTTGGTACTATCAATAAGAATATAACAGCAGAACTAGAATACTGGCTACAGCAATAAGATAACAATAATAAAATTAATAAACCAATAATAGCAATAATAATATATTTAATAATAACATTAGTCTACTCCTAATGATTGCACTACTAATGTTGTAATGAAAAATTACATAGCATGAAAAATTATAAAGACTGATAATGGTAATATTGATAGTAATGATGATAATGATGATAAGATAACAACAATAACAGTAACAACAATAATAACAATAACAGTATTATCAATATTAACATAAATATTAATAATGATGATAATAATAATAATAATAAATATAATAATAATAAATATAATAATAATAATAATAATAATAATAATAATAATAATAATAATAATAATAATAATAATAATAATAATAATAATAATAATAATAATAATAATAATAATAACAGTAACAATAACAATAATAGCTATGACGATAACAATATAACAATAATAATAAAAAATAATAATATATACCAATAATAATAATGACAATAACAACAACAATGACAATAACAATAATAAAGATAACAATCATCATCATTCATCATAGTAATAGTAATAGTAATAGTAATAGTAATAGTAATAGTAATAGTAATAGTAATTGTAAAAGTAATTGTAAAATTCATTGTAAAAGTAATAATGATAATGATGATGATGATGATGATGATGATGATGATGATGATGATGATGATGATGATGATGATGATGATGATGATGATGATGATGATGATGATGATGATGATGATGATGATGATGATGATGATGATGATGATGATGATGATGATGATGATGATGATGATTATTACTATACTAATAATAAAAATAATAAGAAAATAATAAAAATAAATAAGTAAAATAATAATAACAACAGCAACAATAATAACAAATGGATGAATGATGGTGATGATGATGAAGATGAAAAACATAAAAAAACTGTCACAATCTAACAATGTTAATGAAAGACCTACTACTACTACTACTACTGACATAAAGATAACAATAATTCAAACCACATGCATGAACCCTGGGCTCACCTGCAACCAAGATCACTTTTGAGTCTGTGGAGATGTCCACGGATACAGGTCGTTTGACTAGATTGTGGGTGTGCTGCAGTGACCAGGACTGTGTGCACCATACAGTCACTGTCTTGGGCTCACAGGCAACAGCTACATATTTTTCATCATCTGATATCCTTGCACAAACCACCTGGTTCTTGCTGCAAAAGATTGTATCTGTGATTTAGTAAAATGATGAGAAATACTGGAAGATTCTGTTTAGCAAATATGGGCACTAGATAATTATACTATTTAAACATCAGCATTACTCTAGTTGAAAGAAAATCCTAAAATATACATCAAGTATTGCTACTTTTTCTGAAATACACAAATACACAGGAAGAAAATAAACAAAATGCACAAAAAAGAGATGGATTAAGGGACAAAGATAAAGACAAAAACCATACTAAACTATAAAATAACAAAATGAAGGTTTGACAAAAACACATACATGAGCATAAAAATGGAGAAAAGGTTAAGTGTCAAAGAAGTAAATAAGCAGAAAATATGAAGAGGATTGGCCCACAAAAGAAAAAGAAAAGAAAAAAGGAAACAATGAAACAAATAAATAAATAGAATAGGTGGATGGTTGGATCAGGAATTTTACCTGCCTTGAGCAGTAGTCTCATCATTGTCTGTTGCCTTGTTACTTTCCACGGGAGTTTCTGGGATATCCAAGTTGAGGGTTCTTGAGGCATCATTCCTGAAATTAATTATCATTTTATTAGTTTAACTAAATGCATCAATTAATGCAGTTAATATAAGTTGAAACAAATATGAGCTCCACTCAAATTTAGAAACAGTTCACAACCTGAGAAAAGGAACAACAACCCTAACATCAACAATTGCAACAACAGATCAGTGGTTTGGAGTAAACAATGTCAGTCAAATATAGTTGCTTTATTATATCAGTCAAATATAGTTGCTTTATTATATCAGACATGTTATCTCTCTCCAAAGAGAACAATGCACCGAGTCATCTAATATTCAATTCATGCCGGCTGTATATCTGTCACTTTAAACAATGGAATGCTCAATGTTAATGTTTGAAACAAATAAATGTGCTAAACATCAAAGGTCACATAGCACTATGGTAAAGTATTGTGTTGGTAAGGGTAAAGAGGAGTTAAAGGTTAGGATAAAATGTGTTAGATGTCAAAGATTAGAGTGCATTTTTGGATATTGCGGTAGTGAAAAGGGAAAATAGGGGAGTAAATGAACTAGAGCAGATATTAGTAGAAAGGGGAGGGTTAAGGGAGTAGGGCAATTGAGTGAATTACTGTGTATCTATCACTGAGGAAGGTATAGGAACAATGTTCAAGGAAAACAGAGATGGATGTTGGAAAAGAAGAATCCGGGGAGAGGGGGTGTTAGATGTTAAAGATTAGAGAGTGTTATAGGAAAGTATGGTAGCAAAAAAAAAAAAAAGGAAGTAAATCAAGATGAGGGATTTGTATAATGGAGAAGGTTAAGGGGTAGAGCAATTGAGTGACTTGCAGGGTCTCTGTTGTGACAGGGGATTTTTGTGAGTATTCAGGTGGGAGTGGTAGAGAGGGTGGGGTATGTTGGGAGGGTGTAGGAGGAAAGGGGGTGGAGGGAACTTGAGGAGAAGGATGGACATCTACTAATACTTTGAATGTAGAAGGAGTAGGGAACAGAGGGATTGAGGGGTGGATGAGGCAACAGCGTGTTCCCTTGGGTCATCTTTAGGAAGTTTTGGATGTCTTCAAGGGTTTCTGGAGGGGAATTGGGTGAAGAGGACTAAGAAACAAAGGAAGAAGAGAAAGGTGTAGGAGAGGATATAGTAGGAGAGGGTGGAGTGAAATGTTTAGGTTGCCTGGTGCGACAAATAAAGTAAGGAGGGGTAGGTATCGCTGAAGTGGTAGAGACTGGAGTATCTGGATTTAGACTGGAAAACGAATTTGACTGGGGGATAGGGTGAGTAGAGGTAGGATGGTTCAAGGTATAGGGCAGAGATACTGGAGATGTAGAAACATCTTGTAAATATGGTGGGGGAGTAGAGGGAAGGACTGTGTGGAATAAGTTAATCCACTAGCAACAGTATATTTTGAAGGGGAAAATAATGGTTTCCGGGCGGCTTCAAAATCGGCCCGCAGGACTGGTGTATTTTTCTGGGTGTTACATATGTGTGACACCCGTTGTAAGGACAGGTTATTTTTGTTATAAACATTATAATTACTATATTGTTACTGACATTACCAACAGCAGAATTAAATATTAGAAAATATTATTGAAAACCAAGGAAAAGGGTAAAAAGGTGACAGGTAGTTCACATAATTGGCTCACTGGTGACAGTACTTGTGGAGCAATCTATATGTAAAAACAATTACTAAATTCAACACACACAATGGGCAATGACATGTATGTACATGCCATACCCGGCAGCTTGGGGTTAACCCAGTGCTGACGGGTAAAAATGTTTGGCAAGTGGATGTAAGAACGGGATTGTTGGCATGCCTCGGCAGTTTCCCGTTTGCGCCCGGCTCGATTGGTAGTTTGCGAGCATCATTTAGCACATAAAAGTTTTTATTTTGCTATAATTTATAAACATATTAAAATTTTAAAGGTTTACCTTCATCATACATGCCACTGTCTAAAATCTTTACCATATAAATGAAGCCACTACTATCAAAGAAAAACAAACTCTGTCCAACGAGCCAGTGGCGCGGGAATGGGCATGATATGATGCCATCTGTGTTTCGGTCCACAACAGCCATGGCATGTATGTACATGCTACCCGTCGGCTACGAGTTAATTTAGCAATTGCTTTTACACATGGATAGCTCCACAAGTACTCCCATCACCAAAGAGCCAATTATGAGAATTACCTACCTCACCTGTTCACCTCTCCTGTGAAATGTATTCCAAAATATCCCAAGTAATTGAATGTACCTGAAGTGATACAAATGCCACCAATCCAAACCTTAACTTGCTACAATAGATGTGGTGGATGTCTACTGAACTTTGCCATAGTTCCTACCTCGACACCACCAGTATCAGTTATGT